TAAAATCTAAAACTAACCTGGTCATAATATGCGTTTCGTGGCTCATGAAAATTTCTACATTTCTGTAGTACAAGAAAATTTGTAAAGGGTCCCATATTGAAAAGTATAAGAAATAATAATGCTAACAGGCCAGGCTGTACCCAAAAGTCATAATTTAAGAGTCACAGTGTAAACTTTAGAAAGTAGTGTTTGGAAAGAGAAAATAGGCATAATAAAAATTAAAGTTTGGCATTAGCACAAAAGGCATTCTTCTCTCCTTTAAACAAATGTTTTAGGTATAGGTAATCAAAAAATTTCTAGGGACTCTATTGGCATTTCATGTTAGTATATGGAACTGTGTTGTCTAAAAAAAAAAGTGTCCTACACACATGTGGCTACTGAACACTTGAACTGTAGCTACTCTGAATTGAATTGTGCAAACTTCAAATGAAAAGCAGAATGTAAAATATCTTATTAAATTTTATCTTGATTACATGTTGAAATAAAGTCTTAGGCATATTGGGTCATTACAATTAATTTCATCTATTTCTTTTTACTCAGTACTAGAAAATTTAAAATTACATAAATGGCTTGCTGTTAGTGCTCATTAACTGTCTGGTCGACAGCACTGGTATGCAGAGTACACACTTTCATCCAATGCCTAACTGGCATTTCAGAGGAATAATTTCCATATTTATAACTAGTCTTTTTATGTTTCATCATTTTATTTTGAATAGAGGGGCAAAAAAGATTCAAAATTTTAACAGCAGATGTCACTGTATTCTAATGTTTGTTCCCTAATAGTAGGATACTATTACTATTACTTACTACTATAATAGTATCCTACTATTTGGGAACATTTAGTGGCATTCCAGTTATAAAAGAGAACTAATTCTCTAGTCTAGCCTTTTAAGAGAGAGTTTCACATAAGGGTAGAGCCAAACATCCGTGTAAGAGAAACTTTCCATTTTCATCTGTGGCAGCTTGAGGAAAGGGAGTCCAGGCCCCAGGACTTATATATAGAAAAGTGTTTAGGAAAAAGCACTGGAGAGTCAAAGCGGGTCCCTGGAGAACTGACGGCAGACTGGGCTCAGGAGGAAGGGGGATCTCTACAAGGACCCTTGGAAGAGACTGAACTTTAAACTTTAGTAACAATCAAGGTCTGATACTGTTTTAAGTTATTTCCTTTTTTGTGTGTGCCTAAACCACTTTTTAATTCTACAAATCTCTGGTAATAATCTGTTACACACACAATTTTCAGTTCATAGTGACCTGTGGCATGATGGAAACGAACCATGTTTAAATCTGTAGCAAGGGGATGTAGAGAAAGCAAAGAAGCATCCCAAAGCAATATAAAACAGCACAAAGTGGTTGAGAGTTGAGCCAGGAGAAGAGCACATAACATATGAAGTCAGTTATCAAAAAGTTATAAGCCTTCCTTCTCAGAAATCTATAGAAAAATTGGGGATTCCACTCCCTAGGAGAAGAGGGATCAGATTATTTCATTTGCCTCTTCGTGATGAGGAGAATAAAATTTTGCCACCCCAAAATATGCCTTTTGCAGTACTGATTTATACTGTTAAGAAACGAAAGACTCAGAAAGAAACTTTGATCCTCCCTCTTATCTGCCTAAAGGAATTCAGATAGAAAAACCTGCTTTAAGGGAACATCACCTTAGCATCATCATAATATAAACTAAATGTGGCCTGACAGGGAGAAATCTATCAAAGCATACTGTTAGACTTCCCTCTGTGTCCCATGGTTTCTGGATGACCCAGAAAGAATTTGTTTGCTTTGTATCCTCTACCTGGGAATTGACTGCTTTTCCTTGGAAATCCCAGACCCCTGTCACCTTTTCCTTTGTCCAAAATGCTACATATACCTCAGTCGCCCAACGCAACTCGAGTCTCATTCTACGGACTCCTCTGAATGTACAGCTGTAGTAAATTTTGAACATTGTATCCTGTTAATCTGCCTCATGTTAATGTGATGATTAGCCCACCTAGAAAAACTCAGGTGAAAGGGAAGCTAGTTTTTGTGTCCCCTCAATGGAAATGTTACCATCGGTGTTTAGCTAGGTATTTAGAAGGCAAGCAAAAGAGACTAGACATTGAGCTTGATATACTGAAAAGCAGGCACCTGTACGCCTCCCCAGGCAGCTACAGCCTTTCACACTCCAGGGCTCATAGCACTGCTCCACCAAGATGATTAACAATCCTCCCTTCCCCACTCCAGTACTGGATTGTTGGAGGGCCCAGGGAGAGATGCTGGACCATAGAGGCCTGTCAGTCTAACTGGGAGATGGACCCTATCCAAAGCCCACAAAACTTGGGAAGTTAATTGCCATTTTCAGAAAGCACCTGGTCCATCCCAAACCCAAACTTCTGGTTATAACCCCCAAAGAACAAAGAAGCGCAAGTGCGCGCGCGTGCGTGCTCTCTCTCTCTTTCTCTCTCTCTCTCTCTCTCTCTCTCTCTCTCTCTCTCTCTCGCTTGTGACCCGTATGGACATAGTACATGCACCTGTTCTCCACAGCAGTCAGAGGGAGCCTGGATACCAAAGCACAGCAATGGGCTACAGCTGGAAACACATGCTAAGCTGGATGGATGCTGCACTGGACTGGACTTTAATGTGGAGCATAAACTCTGGGAAGTGACCTTCACCCTGGCCCTACCAACGACAAGACTGAACTTTTCCCATGGCAAGATCAACAGAAATGGGACTTTGGGAAGTCAGGAGGGGAACCCCCTTAATTGTACATCATCAGTAAGCCATACCACAGAGCCCCATCCTCCCATGTGGGTCTCAGGAAATCCTTTTCCTTGTGATACAGCAAGAACCCCACTCCCACCAATAACAGAAAGGGTGGCTCTGAAAGACTAGAAAACTAGGGAGACACTGTGTAATAATGCATATGGGGTCTCCACTCAGATACACTTTCTCATATACTTATAATTCCTATCTCAGATTTAATATGTAATGAGAAAGAACAAATTTACTTAATTACAGGCTCTAACCAGACTTTTAAAACATTATTTTGAGCTTAGGGGATATTACATGTATACAGGTGCTCCCTTAAGACCTAAAATGTTAAACCTTAACATTTTAATTAATTTGAATTTTATTAATTAACTCTTTAAATTCCTCATAGTATACTTAGAAGATTATTTACATGATTAGGGCATTAGTATTTTTAAAATGACAATTCATAAAACACTGAGTAGATATCTTCCCACCACTCCTCGCCTTGGCGGCCACAGAGACAACTTTAAAGAACCTCTATAACTAGAATTAAGGGGCTTCCAAAGTATGTCCCATTTCATAAATAAAAATTTAAAGTCACTCCTTTAAATGTTAAACTGCAATTCAAATATTGTAATAATACCATTTTAACAGAGCAAATAGAAAAACGGTAAAAAAAAAAAAAAAAAGAATGAGCCTGTTTAAGGGTTTCTGTAAGGAAATGATGTAGGGTCTTCTAGTATCGCTAAATCACAATTGAATCATGCCTCTGTATCTCTGATTCATAATTATTGTTTCCTAAAGCCAATTTTGAAAGCAAGGAGAAATAATGGCTAGCAAATCTAACAGCATGTTGTGATGCTTGAGGTGTACATATAGCCGTCTTTATCTAATTGGGTTTTGTCATCCATTTTCCTACCACATTAATCCTTAGCTCTTACAAGCAAGACTTTTAATCTGGTCTTCACGGACAGACTTCAAGGAAGTCTGTGAACCCTTTGAAAATTGCCTTTGAAAATGTACACTAATTTTGTTGTATGTCTTCCCTTCCAACCCCCCACAGCCCTTGGGACAGTAAGGATCTGGTAATTCTGACTTGTTTAAGATAAGCTATTTATTTTGAAATTTCAAACAATGTTAGTGGAGGATGTCCACCCAGTCTTCATCTTTGGAAGACATGGGCAAAATTTCCCATTGTTAGACATTTAGGTTAAATGAACACATTTTGCACAAAAATACTTTTAAAGTTCTCCTTAGATTTAGGATAAATTACAAAGGATGAGACTGCCTGGGTAAAGAGAGTGAAAATTAAAATTTTTAATATTCTTGATACATACTGCCTAACTGCCAGACAGAAAATTTGAGTTTACATCTTTTCCAACATTGTGTGAGAAGGCTCAGTATCTCACACTTACACATGGATATAGAATTTTAAACACTGCATTTATATTGTTTTGACTTGCATTTCTTACTTTCATGTATCTTCATATTCCATTGGTTAACTACACTGATCCTGTTGGAAGAGAGAAACAAAACAGTCACTATCTTCCTAGGTTACTATTGCTATATATGCTATGACCATAAGTATAACAATTCATTAAATGTTGAGCTTTCTGCAAGCCATGAGTCTAGTCCTATGTTGGACAGTTATTCCCTATATTTCACTTAACCCTCAAAATAATTCAGTATTGTTATTCTCATTTTCTAAACGAGACAACCTGGCCTTTGAGATGTGGGAAGTAGCCCAAGTCACAGAGATGAGCCGAAGCACTGGGATTCGCCCAGGATCTCATACTCCTGCTAACTAACCACTGAGTTAAGGGGAAGCGGGAGGGGAAACACCGTGTGCAAAAGCATTTACAAAAACCTAACCCAACACAAACCAAAACGACCAAAAACAGGATTCCTCCCCACTTGTAGTCTCCTTCCACTGAACAAGTTCTAAATTAAAATAAGTGCGTCTTAATTAAAAGCCGTGAATCTACGATCCGGTTCTTCCCCCTCCCAGAGTCGTGAAGTCCCAGACGACTCGCAGAGCGAGCACTAGAAAACTACTCAGCTGAAGGCTGTGAAAGAAAGTGCACCTTTTTCCGCTTTGCAAAAGGAAATGGCCTAATTGGGAGGAGTATATTGTTATTTCTCAATTTTCCACGACGAAGACAGCCAATTTTTACCTTAAAGTCTTGGGAAACCAAGGTAACAACCGCGAGAGCCCATACTCCCAGTAGCTGCACTTCCGGGTTTAGGGCCGCGGCGGAGGAAGGACGCATGCGTGGGGCAGGAATCCGGGCCACACACCTGCTACGAGGACGCTCTGAGCAGGCGCGGGTGCAGGTTACAGGAAGGTCGGGCATCAGCTGATTCCATCATCCTGCGGTCCCTCCCCCCTCCTGACTCCGGGGCGACCCTGCAACAGAGCGGGGTCGTCTCTTCAGCCCCAGCTCCTGGACTGCGTACTTCGTGACCCTGTCCTCGAGCCTGTCCGCGCTGGAGCTGCTCGGAACTGCACAGAAATCCTCTTGCCGGTGAGCGACCCCGGACGCGCAGCCCCCAGGTACCCTTCCGGAGCGGGGCCAGTGGAGGCTCCGCGGGAAGAGCCGAGGGGGAAGGAAGGAAGGCCGCGGGGGAGCCAGGCCTGCCAAGCGATGGGAGAGGATCTCAGGCCTGTGTTGAAGGAGGTGTTGTGCAACCTCCTCGTACCTAGACCCAGACTCCTGTCCAGGGGCTCTGGGTTTTGGCCCAGGTCCTGCGTACCTTGTATGGCCAGGGGGTCCCTTATTTTGCTATTCTCGAGTTTTCTTGCACGGTTCTCTGGATCTTATTTTTAACCTTTCCGGAGTAGGCTCTTTGCCAGGTTTTGTTTTGTTTATGTAGGTTATGAAAGCGACTGACTTCCTTCGTTATCAGAAAATCACGACCCATTCAAATTGGATGGAGTGCTGTACTTATTTTTTCTCTCTTTATGCTGAGTCTGAGATCCATGTTGGATTTCCGTAAATTAAAAGACTGCGATAAAAGATTAAAAGACAAAAACACTGAGCACAGGGAAAAGAAGGGCGGGCTAGAACCTCTGAATACGACAACCAGCCTCTAGGAATAAAAGTGATTAAATTTATCAGTGCTCTGAGGAAAATCTAGTGGGACAGGCAGGCATGCCCAGTACCTGGCAAGGCCTGGAGCTTGTCCATAGCCTTGCTGAAACAAACATCTGTCATAGGCAGAATCGAGGCAACTGTTCGATGAGGTCCAGCCGGAGAGCCGCTGGTTTTGCCTTCTGTGTTCTTTCTCCCTAACGCCTTCCAGTGTGGGGACAGTGATGCTAATTCATCGCTGAACCACCTGTGCTTGGCAAGTACTGATTTAGCAGAGGAGTAATGTCATTAAAACAAATCAAGAGAAGATAATGCATTTGTAGAAATCATAAATTATGTATGTTTTTAACTTAACCTGAACAATGCGTACATAAGATTTTTTAAAATAGTTAACTAGTGAAAATAAGCGTCTTTATTCATCATTCTGTAATTTTAAGTTTGCTACTAGTTGAATAGTATTTTTACCCTGCTGCTTACACTGCGTTGAGTGACCCCAATACATGGATGGCACGCCAGTTTTAAAAAGCAGACTTTTGTACATTGAATTATTTTGAGTCTCAGTTTTTCATATTCAAATCAGTGAGAATTTTTAAAAGAAATAGCATTTATCTCTTTATGTGAATGTCTGTAATCTACTTTTAGGAATTAATAAAAGGTATATAATCAAATTTAGAAGAAATTTTTAAATTTTGCTTTAGCTCTTTATTAATTTTCCCTCAATATCAGCAGATTGGATCATATCACTTCAATTCTTTTCATTCTTAAAATTGTATGACCTCCTTGCAATGTTATTGCATTACCTACCTGCAGAGGTTATTTTTGTATAGGTAGTAATACTAATTACATACAGATTTAGAATTATGGCTTTAAGTTTATATTTAATTTTCCTCATGTTATTTTTGATACTGTCATCCTAAAATTTTGAAATAAATGTTCTATATTTTTCTGTTTTGTATGGGAGGTTATAGTTAATACTTTGGAATGTTAATTTCTTTTTTTTTTTTTTAAACTACCAACTGCTGAGTGAGAGAAAAAAACTGTAGGATTTGGTTTTTGAGTTGTTTTTATTGGAAGTGTTTAAATATCTGAAGCAGGAAATGTGAGGTCAAGAGGGATTGTAAATTTTATTTATCACAAAGGAGCATGAATTTTAAAGGGTAAAAAAAATTACTACTTTGAATTTAGTTGTCAATACATATAATACCTCGCTGTTATCTGCCCAAACCAACTTTTGCCTTCAGGGCTAATTGGTTTAAAGGGAGAATGTGGTTTTGTTTTATTCTGAGAAATGGGAAGCCCACATGTTACTTTTCAGAGGACCTAAAGGAAGTATAGGGTTGTTAACCTCTACTGTGGTTTGAAAGCCCATTCTCACCGCAAATATGACATGATATGATTTCACAGTATTTTGTTAAGAGAAACACTTTTGGACTCTGGGAAGTGGCTTCCTTGTTTCAGACATTAATTTAATTGAATATAATTCTAATCCCCAAAGTAGTTTGTTTGAATGAACATTCCTTGAATTTTTTTCTAAATTAATTACCTGCATTTTACCATATATAATGTGCTCCCGTGTATAATGTGCATCCACTTTTTTGGCCCAGACTTTCAGGTAAAAAAATCTTTCATTTTAAGTTTTTAATTCATTTTTTATTTGCTTTATTTAGGTACTTGTTGTTCTCATTGTAAAGGGTATTATTTTGCATACAGATATCGTTATTGCTTTCTAGAGTTACACTTCTAATGCGTAAGCATAAATAAAAAATTAAAAACATTTATATAGATATGGAATTAGTACTACCCATGTATAATACACATCCTTATTTTTCCCTCAAAAATTTGGGCAAAAATGTGCACATTATACATGGCAAGATATGGTAGATTGGTATAAATATCCCAAAATGTTCTTGAGTATACATTTTTTTCCTGACGTTTACTCTAAGATTATTCTTTTTCTTTAGACATGGGACATTCTTTTTCTCATTTGCCTTTGCATTCAAACAAAGAAGATGCTTATGGAGGAGTCGCATCAACGGAAAACATGAGGAATGGATTGGTTAATAGTGAAGTCCATAATGAAGATGGAAGAAATGGAGATGTCTCTCAGTTTCCATATGTGGAATTTACAGGAAGAGATAGTGTCACTTGCCCCACTTGTCAAGGAACAGGAAGAATTCCTAGGGGTGTGTGCATTGTTTTCTCTTTGAAGAATGATTCCATGCATTTGTACAAGAGGAGCGACCTGAAGAGACATGCTATATGATGATGAGTCAAATAGGAAAAAAAAAATAATAGTTACATATCATAGAGGAAGTCAGAGGGAATGATCCCCATGTGCTAAGTGTAGGCTGCTTTAGGAGAAGTGGCAACAGTAGAAATGGTAAAGGTACCTTTATGCTCTTCTCATTTTCTCCTTGGTCAAAGTTGATAGTGTGACTCTGGAGAGGCCCCAACGGAAGGACAAAGTGGCAATACAAGGTTTACAGGAGTCTCTGATAAATGCCTTGGGTTGGGGAACCCTTGGGCATTACATTCTAGGTCAGTTGCATGAGAAAGAAATAGTAAAAACACTGAAGAAGAGCAGCTAGAATAGGAGGAGGAGATCTGTATCTGTGGTATCCTGGAAGAGAAATGTAGAACGTACACCAAGGAGGAAAAAGTGATGGGCTATGTTAGATGCTACTGATAGGTGAACTATTGTGAGGACTGAAAACTGACCTTTGGATTTGGTGATGTAGAGACCACTGGAGACATCCAAAGAGCAGTTTTGTTACCCTGCTTAAGTATGTATGTCGTGTGTAGAGTGGGATCAGGAGAGCATAGGAGAAACGAAGTTGCATAACGATAAGATAGTTGTTTTATTTTTGGAGGGATGGTGTAACAGTTTAGAAAAGGAGAGAAGTGGTATAGCTGGAAGGGGTTATGAGGTCAAGAGGGATTTTTTTTAAGATGGAGTGAATAATAAATTTGTATGCTAATAAGAATGATCCACAGAGAAAGCATTGATAGTTCAGGAGACAGGAGAATTACTAGATCTGGTGCACAAGTGCATAGGGCTACTCTTCATAACAAAAGGGAATGTAGAGTATGTGGACGCAGAAGCAGAAAGGTGGGTGGAGGTGGCTTTGGGGGGGCTTGTGGAAGTTCTCTTCTGTTTGCCTCATCATAAGCTCAGAGTTGTCTGGAGAAGAAGGTATTGGAGATTGCAAAATAGAGTTGAAGTTATGAAATTGTGGTCTTGCAATGTCAGAGAGTGTGAACTAAGGGAATAACAGTATGATTATTGGTAAATTAAGGGCCACTTGAGTGATCTAAAGTGAGACCAGTGTGCATAGTTGTATGTTTTTGTCTATGCACATGTAACTGTGGATATAGGCATAGTAGTTAAAGGGTTGGTTTTAACCAAGATTGTAGTTTAGCCAAATGAATACTGCCAAGCAAGTTGCAATATTTACATACACAGAGACATATATACATTATATATATATATATGTATATGTGGGTGTGTTGGGAGTAGTGTAAGTGAGGGGGAGCATTGTGGAAGGGTCCGAGAGGAATGATGGAAGCATTATGGAAAGCTTTAAAAAAGAACTTGACCATGGTGCTTTAATAGTTAATACAGAGCCAAGTTAGCAAATTGGCATTTATCTATTAAAGTCTATGGATTTAGCTCAGCCCAAGAAATAAGTGATGGATTTTGTAGTGACTTAATGTAGAAAGGGGTGTGGCCTGAAAGAGCCCTGGAAGGCTCATTATAGGGGCTCTTGGGGCACGAGACTTAGTGTGTGTCAGTTTTGGTTTTCAAGGGGGTGGTGTAGGAACCTCTATAGTCACAGGGGTGTCAGGATCTAGAGGAAGCAGTATGTTTCCTCTGCTCTCATCTGGATGGCCAAGTCAGAGTCTTACTGGAAAACTGTGGGGTCGAAGGAAAGCCTGGTAAAAAAATTTTTTATTTCAGCAAAGAATTACTCATTCTCTATACTATTCGAATTAGCTAGATATCTAGGTATAAAAAAAACACAGGTACTGTGTTCTGGAACTCAATTTCTACTGGGTAATTTTTAAAGATTTTGAGAGCAGTTTATTGAAGGAATGAGATGAGAACCACATAGTATTTTGGTCTTTCCAAACCAGACTTCTTTGTGGAACTACTATATTTTTAATAAACCACGTTAATAAATTTTTAAACTTCTTTCACTTTTAGGGCAAGAAAACCAGTTGGTGGCATTGATTCCATATAGTGATCAGAGATTAAGGCCAAGAAGAACGTAAGTAATTATAAGTGGCACATTATTTTGTTCTTTTGTATTCTTGCTTTTCAAGTTATGTATAATAATTAGTTAACACGATTAAAGGAAAAAATGGCATCGGATTATGAAGCTGTGCTCTCCTATGCTTTGTGACATTAAAAAAAAAAAAAGATTCCTGGTCAGAGTAAGGTCTTAAAAGCAGCATAGTGCCTGAATCTTCTCAGGTCCATTTAATTAAAATAGACTAACCTAGAATAGTAGTAGGAAACACACAGAGAAAACATGTTTATTTTAAAAATGGGAGTTAAGGTGTTCCCACAGGCCATAAAAACAGGTACTCATCCCACGATGATAGCAGGGCGCTGACATGCCGAGCAGCTGTGTGGAAGCTGTGAGGGGAAACAGAGAGTCCTGAGACCCCTGGTACCAAAGCAAAGACCTTACCTCAAAAGAAGAGGATCCCAGGGACTTCCAGCAAATGCCTCTAAGAATAACCTGTTAAATGAGAAGATCAGAAGGAACTGGACCATCCTAAACCCTCAAAGACTCAATAAAAAGACAAAAAAAGGACAGACACACCCTAGCACCTGCTGGTGCTAGAATCCAGTTTGCAAGACCATAGATAAACGAAGGAAGATTCAGAACCTAGAAAAACCTCAGAAATATAGAAGTGGGTATACATAGTGGCCATCTTTTTTAATACCTTGTATAAGGGCAGAGGATGGCTATAAACTTGGGGTGGATTTGATGAGGCACGTAGATATGTCATTTTTTTTCAAGAGCTTCAGAGGTGGTTCTGAGGAGTAGTCACTTGAGGGAATCATGATGGCAAAATTCACCTGTGAAAATTCTGCAGTGAATTCAGGAGGGAGTCTAGAAATCAGTATATTTTTAAAGTTCCCTGTCTTGATTTTAATGTGCAGCCCAGTTTGGGAATCACTACAGTAATGTTCTATCTATAATAAGCCTGAAATCCCAGTCCTCACTAAGGTAAATACATCTTTTAAGGAGAACATTTTAACAATAGACTCAGACCCAACCCTACTCAATACTTTTATAATGTAAAAAGTAGAAAAAAATACATCTTATACTGCTAGTATAATGGGAAATTTCAAGTTGAAAATTTCTCTCTAAATGTTTCATTGTAATTTGTGATGCACATACGCATATTTAAATTCTCCATTTTTCTTTTCAGAAAATTGTATGTGATGGCTTCTGTGTTTGTCTGTCTGCTGATTTCTGGATTGGCTGTGTTTTTCCTTTTCCCTCGCTCTATCGACGTGAAATACATTGGTGTAAAATCAGCATACGTCAGTTATGATGATACAAAGCATACAGTATATTTAAATATTACAGTAAGTAAAAGTTTATGTTACAAATATTTAACTTCATTCCTTTATGATGTTAAGTAGTACCTTTGTCCCTGTTGAGAGAATATTAAATGCAGCACTGGTTGGTTTGCTTTCTGTATGCCTGCTATTGTTGTATTGACCTCTCTTATTTCTGGTTCTGCTGAAAGTGGTGAATAATAAATATTGGCAGTTGTGTATACATAACATTTAGCATTTGAAGATGCCATTAGGAGGGTAAGTGAATTAAGCAATTAATTGCTAGCAAAAAATATATTTACAACCTGTTTACTTTTCAACATTTGATTCCAAATTTGAGACAATTGTGAATTGGAATCAGAGATGTTGGGCCCAGCTGTTACCTGCATTCCTTTCCAATCAAACAGACTTGAGTCCATTCTGTTTCTTCTCCATATTGACCTGGTAGAAATTTCTATTTGTATATAAGTTAAAATACCAGTTTCTTTTAAATTAAACAAAGAAATTAAGTTACTCTTTAACATTTTATATGGCCAACTTTGTATTTATTAGAATAAGTAATAGCTTACAATACTAACATTGAGTAAAAACTTAGATGAAACTTAAAAATTATTTTTACTTCATTTTTGCTGTCACAAATACATTTTCCAACATTCATTTTTTGATTCCTGTACCGTTTCTGGGCCTGTTTTTTTTTATTGTATGTTTATTATAGTATATCCTACACATAATATTCATGTGTAAAACCAAGTAATTGGTTGATTTAATGTTCTTTAACATTTTTGTTAAAACTTTTATCTCTTCTCATAATGAAGCATGGCCCTAAATGAAGTCATTTTTTTTTAAACTAGTTTGAATGGATATTTGTTTTGCTTATTTTCAAATAACGTGTACATTTTTGGCCTCTTTTGCAGAACACATTGAATATAACGAACAATAACTATTATTCTGTTGAAGTGGAAAACATCACTGCACAAGTTCAGTTTTCAAAAACAGTTATTGGAAAGGCACGCTTAAACAACATAACAAATATTGGTCCACTAGATATGAAACAGGTAAGCTTCAGTCATGAAATATTTTGGAGAAGTTAAATGAGTCTCAACTTTGTTTATCAAACTGACTTGAAGGAGGTGAGGATTTCCTCAAAAACTTGACTTTGAAGAGTATCTCATGAATGTATACAAGAGAAAGTCTTAGCGTCAGAGTCATAAAGGGAGAGATTTCAGAACTCTTCGAGGTTATGAAATGTATGTGTAATATTTGATTATACTTGATTATTGATCCTATTCTGTATTTATTTTCATTGTTTGCCTTTCAGATTGATTACACAGTACCTACTGTCATAGCAGAGGAAATGAGTTATATGTAGTAAGTTCTGATTTTTAATAATTCCCATTAAATTATAAAGTCTGAAGAATTAAATATGTATATTTAATATCCCATGATCTTAGTCACAAGACCACATTTTGGGATATACATGATATTTATACACAATAGCTATACATATAAAAAAATTAGTTTTCAGAATTAAGGTCATATATACCTTGTCACTTTTTATTTACTATGTTGAGAACCATACTCTCTTATATTCTATTATTGATGTTTTATTGTAGGAAGATTAATAATGTTAATAATATATAATACTGTTGAAGTCCTAAAGCTTTTAAATAAGTTCTAAATGATTATTAACTGTTTAGTAGAACAGTGATAAATTTCATCATTGTTTGATATCAGCTTGATACAGAATTTCTGAGTAACAAACTGGTTAGTAGAATTTCAAAAGGTGAACAAAAAGTAGAAGTAAATTGTGGCACATGTTAAAACAAATCTACAACTGCAGAAAAATGTATTTGTTTTTAGAGTAAGAATTCATGAAAATACTTATCATTATTTGAGATACAGAAAATGCTCAACCAGAATGCTTACTTATATCTTAATAGTATCTATCAGCTTTAACATAGGAAGAAGAATTGTAATTAAACTTTTAAATTTGTAATGTCTTAGGTCTCATTTATCCACATTCTTTTCTCTTTAACAGTGATTTCTGCACACTGATGTCCATAAAAGTGCATAACATAGTACTCATGATGCAGTGAGTATGAATTTTTGTTTAAACTTCAGATTTATAACATTGGCTTAGAGCAGCAATTTTCAACCAGTGTGCCACAGGAATATTTAAATTTTTAAAACATGTACTACCTGACTATTTAGTCAGGGGCACTACCTCTTTTTTTCTTTTTAAATACTTTTTAAAATTTATTTTTAACAGGGGATGGGGTGCGGGGCAGAAGGAGGTAGAGAAACATTGACATGCAAGAGAAACATTGATCGGTAGCCTCTCACATGCTCCCAACTGGGGACATGGCCCTCAACCCAAGCATGTGCCCTGACTGGGAATCGAACCAGCAACCATCTGTCCACAGGCCTACTACACTCAATCCACTGAGCCACACCAGTCAGTGCAGCACCTGGTTTTTTTAAAAAGTCACTTTGCAGCAAAAAGGGTAGATAATTACTATCATTTTTTATAAATTAATCAAAATTATACTTTTTTTTTTTTTTTTTTTTGTCGATTGACCAAAAATAGATCTTTTGGTGTGCCACAGAATTTTAGTAATTAGTTTGTGTGCCATAGGACTGAAAATGTTGAAAATGGTTGAAAATACACAACGTTTTTAAAATGCCATCTCGGTTGGATTTTAAGTAGTACCAGAGTGCTCTGATGTCCAATAAATACTATGCTACTTTACAAGTGAGGAAACAGGTGCTCAAGAAGTAGTTCAGGATCATATGGCTGCCGAATAGTGAACCTAGACCTTGCAAGAACTCAGGAAAATGGCCGTGTCTGGGATAGTGAGGAGGACTGAACTCAACATACAGTTCCATGCTGCCTGTGGTAAAAGGTCATTAGCATTTCTGAGGAGAAGTAATGTTACTGGTTTGTAAATGGGGTGTTATCCTGAGCTATTGAAACAGTGTAGGTTATAGGTTTAATATTTGGGCCATGAGCTAAGATTTTATTAACCCTTTTCCTATGATGAGAGAACTATGTGGTTTTTAATCATGTAATCACCTTACATGGGGGTTAGCAAAAGTAGGTTTACAGTTCACATGGAAAATAATACAATAATTAGTAAAAACACAAGGATAAACTGTTTAATGCACTCATAACTGTAAACCCACTTTTGCCCTACTCTTTTAAAGAAAAAACTTACATTTGTTGTATATAATTATTTGGATAGGGCTTGCTCAGCCAGCCTTTCTGTTGTCATTTGGAGAAACATTCCCTTAGAGACCCACATCCAGAATATGAAACTGTCATTAAGCAAATAATCTGTCTGGAGAGAATTTTGATGTATAAAGTATTCTCATTTTAGAAAACTTGTTTTATATGTAACTATTCAGTACTTCTCCCCGTTTCTTTTATTTTTAGAGTGACTGTGACAACAACCTACTTTGGGCACTCGGAACAAATATCCCAGGAGAGATACCAGTATGTTGATTGTGGAAGGAACACAACTTACCAGCTGGGTCAATCTGAATATCTGAATGTACTTCAGCCACAGCAGTAAACATTGAAAGAGATGCAGCTAGAGAAGAAGAAATCCCTATTGATAGTTTTTAAACTCTGAAGGATGAGGTACTTACTTCCTGATAGGAGATCTTAAATTAAACAAACCTAAAATGCAGCTAAAAGTATGTGGACTTCCAAGTTTCTGCAGCTCTTCACTCTGTGTTCATGATATTTGTACCAGGATCTCTACTTTAATCTAAATTTACTGATTGGTTTTCTTCCCTCCCCACCCCATACTCCCATTTCCCCGAGGGGGAAACTGAGACTTCCCTTACAGGACAATAAATATTTAAAATTCACAGCTCTAGTCACTATTGAAAACATGAGTTTGGTAATGAACATAATTTGAGAAAACTTTATTTCTGAAAGTTTTTATAGACTGTTCCTGATAGCCTGTCCTTTATGAAAGACTTTTAAGGAATAACCTTTTCTTCCTCTTATAAATTCCCATTGCTACAAGGGAGTATTTCAACTATATCATATTTTATCTTTAAACATTTTTAGTTTTTCATTTGTTGAATTTCTACTTATTTGCATTTTTGTCCATCTTATTTCAAACCAGTGCTTAAATAATACTTATAGACCAAAATAATCTTTGCAAAATTCTGTACCTAAAAATTTTAAATCTCTCTAAATAATGTTTCACATGTCTTTCCATTTTATAGTTTTATGAAGTTTTTGTGTAATCTCGAAACATAGTTAATGTACAATATTGTAAATAAACTGTGCATGGCTTTTATACAGCTTTAATAAATGTCAAATAAAGTGACACAGATTCAAAATAAAGTAAGTAGCTCATAAATATAAAACAGGAAATGGAATTCAGAAATCTACAGAATGTGAATGTTTCCATTTGCATATTAGATCAGGCATAAAGTAGATTTGAAATAAATTACTTGATGCTCCACTTCTTTTTAATGTTGCTTTTCATACTGAAAATTGTGAAGATACTTTTCACAACTATTATGTACCCAACTCATCAATTTTAATGCTTCAGAGGTAGAAATTATTTCTTTAGTTGAAATTATTTAAGAAATATTATTATTAAATGATGGTGGCCATATCAAAATAAAACCTGTATTATGATTTTAAAAATTTAATCACTTTGCACATCATGTCGATATCATGCACCTAGCGGGTACATTTTTAAAGTTTTTACCTTAGGTTTGGATTTTATTTAAAATTTTTTTCAAGTGTAAAGTACTGACTGACTTTGTTGTTTTATACTCTCAGTACCATTTACCAGTTGGACTTTTTGCCTTTTCACTTACCAAGGTCTAAGTACCTTTTAAATACATACCACTGAGTGTAGGGGCTGACTGTCATACCAAAAAAAGGGAAGGGGTGGCTTCAGATTAGTTTCTGTTTCCCAGTAACAGAAATCAGGTTCCCCCTAACCTCCCCAAAAGTGCCTCACTTAGGTCTGAAACATGTCTATTTATCAGTCTGACTCTCAACTTTAAAATATACACTGTATTTAATTATTTAGATCAATTATTAATAATTGATTGTTTAATAATTAATGGTTATTAATTATTGATAAGTATTTAATAATTAATACTTATTTATTACGAAGCCCTCCTTCTGCCTTTAGACACACTCAGGCCTTCCTTTGGCTTTCATGTCATTTTCTCCAAGTTTCCCAGAGTGAACATTTCAAATACATAGTTAGAATGCTCTTTATTTTTTTAAACTACTTTATCTTCCCTTAATTCATTCCTAATTCATCTATTCTTACTGTTAACTAAAACTCACTTTTTAACATACACTATAGACTTCCTAATCAAACCCAATCTTTATTTTAATTTTTCCTTTTTTTGGACCACTCGCGTTCTTGAAGCTGCGCATTTCTGTGGCATATTGATTCTATTTGTGTTTTACCATTCTCGGTTCATTTTCCCTCACTATCTTTTGACATCTTTTAATGAGTATTATGTAGACCCTCTAGACCCTGTTTTGCCTCAGAATTTCTACTCCTGTGATGTTAACATCCATATATATCAGGGCTTCCAAGTCTGTTTCTACATACTTGACTAATCCCTCATCCAGTTTCTCATTCAGCTAGTGACCTAGAGGTAATCGTATTTCAGTGACTAAGTGTAAAACCAAAAAATGTTTTATCATTTTTTGTTTTGTTCTTGTTCTCATGTCCTATTTCCTTCAAAATCACATTTATTCCTTCAGAATGATCCTTCAGATATGTATTTTATGAAAATCCTGATTTATTTTCTTGCTTTGTATCTTTAACTCTAGGAAAATTATGTAGTGTAAATTAAATGGATTTTTTGTTGATTGGTGGTTCTGATACTCTTTTAGAATAGATTCAGAGTAACGATTGAAGAGGCAGGAAAGTGAGGGAACATTTGCTTTTAATGACTTAGTTTAAGTGTTTTTTTCATTCATTCTCTAAATTAAAAACTTACTTTCTGTGAGTTTTAAGTCAGAATAAAACTAGAATTTAAAATAAGTAAAAAACCAGTAGTGGAAAAATAAAGATCACCTATGGCTACTTTCATAGGGTTAAGTAACTACCAGAAATAGCTTAAAACAGAGCAGGCAGTGAATTAATAAAACTCCAGAAACACATTCAGGTAAATCTGAATTATAGCCATTTAAAAATATCTGGAAAGAATGAATGAGGTTTATCTTTTCTTAGGTCATTGTCCAATGTAGTTTCTTACATGGTAATAGGATAGGTATCAACGCAGTTTTTAAAACTGCTCTCAGACCTTATCCAAAGGACATGGTAAAGATGTCACAATTTTTTTTTCCAAAAATTCCGAGAATAACCTCCTCTTAAACTACACTTTTAATATACTGATCATTCTTACCAAGTAGCATACTGTAGCAAGCCTCTGTGTGTTGAGATTACATGTATATAGTGCTATGTCCTTTCCAGAGCACTTCCATGTGTTTTTCTTAGATGATTTCTTAGAGCCTTGTGAGTTGGGGAAAAGAGGGTGGTAGGAGTCTCAGCTTTTAGAGAAGGAAGGAGAGGCTTGGAGAAGTTGAGGACTTGCTGACATGTAAAAGAGTTCAACAGGCCAGATGGGAGTTTTTCTCTCTCCCATATTTGTGCTCTATCATTTAGAACATCCATTTGAAAGCCCTGTATTGACTCAGGTACTATGATCAAAAATTAGAGAAACTGTTCACATGCTTAGTAGTAGCAATCAAAATCATACTGGTGGACTATGATTTGGGTAACTTTAAGTTGGTATCTAAAATATTTTGGAACATAACCTATATATTAATATTTCTGTAAAATTTAGTACACCTTGATCATTCCAATAAAGATAGGGCTGGTATGTCACCAGAGAGACTACAAGTAATAGAGATTTTTGAGATTTGAAATATGAACAGTATGAAAACATTAGATACCAGATAAGTTGCTTGAAATTGCTAAAATGGTCACTTTATAGTACCTAACATGTAAATGACTGGTTTTATTTGTGTACAGTTTTTCTGTGCCTTCTTTGTTTGTTTTAGATCAATGAGGTGATTCTCTAAAAATTCATGACAAAATAAAATTCACTTCAGATCTTTCGAATTGTAGTTTGGAAATGATGAAGTGCATTGTTAACATATATAGGAAGTGACTGCCATAACACAATAAAAGTAACCTAGGAGACTTCAAATGTTAGTCTAATGAAGGCTTTATGGTTCTCAGCCTTACCATTATTGCAATATAATTCTGGATATTTCATTGGAGAGTATGTTTCCAGCTCTCCCATGCCATTTTGCTTTTTTTTTTTTAAAGTTCTTAAGTAATTCTTTATATGATGATTACGTCTTATTTAAGAAAATAGTGTTTTAGGTTCTTGACCCCAAAGTAAGTTACTGCTTGGTCGAGCTACTATTAATGCTCCTTATGTGTCACATACTATATTAATCTTTTATGTGCATTACATTACTCCTCAGAAGACCCCTCTAAGGTCAATATTGTTGTTGCATCCCATTTTATATCTGACAAAACTGAGTTTTAGGGAAATTAGGAAATAGGTTAAGATTGTAAATGGCAGATTCAAGGTTCACAAACTCTGTTTGACTTAAGCATTATTACCCTTACAATGAACATATTGTCTTTCCAGTCTTTGAAAACGTTTTATTTATAAAAATATATTGGTTGTTGCACTTAGTATATAAAAGACTTTGAGCTGTTTCATAGTACAGTTGATCCTTGAACAACGAGGGGGGAATTAGGGGTGCAGACCTCCCACACAGTCAACAGTTAGCATATAAATATAGTAGGTCATCTGCATATGGGGCTTTCCAACCACAGAGTTGATGAACAATACTGGCTTAAATTGCATGAGGCAATCGTGTATAAATTGGCCCCTGCAGTTCAAACCCATCTTGTTCAAGGATCAACTATTTTCAAAAGTATTACTAGGATATTCTATTTTGTAGATCTTTGGTATAATAAAAATGTTTATCATTGATTTTTAAAACATTCATACATATCTACTAGGATTTTTTCTTCTAAAATGTGAAAAATTTTTAATTTACAAATACATGTCAACCTTCTTTGATTAGCAGTGTAAATTGAATTTCAAGTTACTAGGTTATAAGCCAAAAGTTGCTTACCATAATGTCATGATGTTTAACTCAGTGTTTGAAAGCAGCAAATACTTGGCTTACCTATATCTAAGAATAATTAATTTGACTTACTTTGTAAAATCATTTTAAATTAGGTATTTATCTTAAACTATTTTAAGGAAAAATGTGTTTGAGACAGTAGAGTAAGACTGTTAAACATTATTTCTTTAAAAAAATTATTTTTTACATGAAAACAAAATATATTTAAATGTGCTGTAATCAAATATTTCACTTCTATGTCCCAGATCGACTTACTTCAAAGTAAAAATTTTCACTTGTCAGCTGAAATTTCTGATTAGAACTACTAATATTTATGTATTTTTTTGTGCCTAGTCAGAATGTAAATTGCATAGTGGATTTTTGAAATTCTTAATTTGGATGAAAGTAAGTGATATATATATTTATAAAGTTGCTATTGGGGAAAAATGGTAATTTTCATTTTTTTAAAAACTAATGATTGGTTATGTTTGTAGTTTTTTTTTACATGTGTTTAGCACAGCCTCTGAATTTAAAAATATACTATGGTCTGTAGTGACCCTAAAAATATTTCATAATTTAACATACTTATGTCAGTTTTTTCATAGCTAAATATAACTTCTAGAAGGAAATTGTTGCCTTCTGTTTAATTATATTAAATAAAATGGAGTTAAGAGAAATGTTCTCAGCATATTTTGTATATAAAACCAAAAAAGGATTAGTATTGGGCCAATGGCCAAGAGTAATATTACTACCATGTAGACTGTTAAAGTTCAAAGTGTTTCACTTTCCCCAGAATTTTAGAAACTAGAAGTCTGGGAGATACAGTATCAGCTGCAATTGGGTGATTCTAAGTTCTGTCTAAGTACTATTTATCTTTTAATTATTGTGTGACATAGAACATATGCCAACTTGCAAAACATGCATAATTTCATTATGTAATGGTTTGTTTTAGGCATAAAATATCAGCAAACCATACCTTGTGTATTTTGTCTTATATTTCCATGTAGAACTAAATTAAGTGAGATTTTGGAAAATGAAATGCTTGCTGACCTTTTTGGTCAGATATTTCATGATGGCATTACTGGGTAGATTCTAACCCATGATTCTAATTGTGGAATAAAGAATAATATAGAATATGAGACTATGTTTGGGCACTTAACTCTTTATAAACTCTTTGTTTATATTATGTATTAACCTCCATCATAACACTAAAATTCTATGTCCAGGAGTTCTGTAATTATAACTATTGTTGCTCTTCATGTAACAAAATATGCTTATGATAGTAAAATGAATAGAAGCGCACCAAAATGCTATTTTTAATTCACTTGTAACTGTTACTCTTGTAATTATGTATTACACAATAAAATTTGTAAAAATTTTAGCATGAAAAATAAAATTTGTATCAGTAAAGTATCTTGGTTATGCTTTTGAAATTCTCTTTATACAAACAAATCAGTGTAGATATTGAAAGTCCTTTAGCTTAAAGCTCTGTAATCCTTATGGTCTTTACCCAAACTCCATATTAGCATCATCTTTGATTTCTCTTTCTTTTGTTCACTTTGTTTCTGATTCATTGCCGAATCCTATCTGTTCAACCTCTGTAATATCTCTGGAATCTGTCTCACACTTGAAATCTTTTTTTTCCTAGAAAATTATTTGGCTATATCTTTAATCCTCTGATCTTACCTCTTTCAATGCCTGGCTCAAGTGTCCCATCCCTTTCTCCCTGCAAATTTAGTAAAACACTTGACTCTTCCCACCCAGATGTGTACATTTAAAAGAATTGCCCAATCAGAAATATATTTTTTAAAGATTGTATTTTTGAGAGAGAGGGGAAGGGAGGAAGACAGGGAGAGAAACATCAATGTGTGAGAGAAACTGGTAGGTTGCCTCTCGCATACCCCCAGCTGGGGACCTGGCCAGCAACTCAGGCATGTGACCTGCTTGGGAACTGAACTGGCCACCTTCTGGTTCACAGGCTGGTACTCAGTCCACTAAGCCACACTAGCCAGGGCTTGCTTTGGTTTTTGAACTCAAAACTTTTTGTTTTGAACAGAAACACATTTTGCCAATTTGAGTTAGTGTTTTAGTTATGGCTTTAAAAATCTTGTATCAAGTAGCATGATCTGAAATTGTGACATAAAAAGAAACAAATCCTGGTAAAGTAATAGGAAAAATAAGATTACCTGGGTGTGCTCTCCTTAGCCAATTAGTCAAAGCAAGATGAAGAATCAATAGCAAATTCATGCCTTTTGCCAAGCGACAAGGAGATAGCCAACTTATCACATGCAGAATTCAGAACACTGGTAATCAGGATGCTCACAGAAATGATTGAGTACAGACACAAAATAGAGGAAGTAAAGGCTATGCGAAGTAAAATAAAAAAAGAAAATATACAGGGGACCAACAGTGAAGGCAAGGAAACCAGGACCCAATGATTTGGAACAGAAGGAAGAAAACATTCAGCCAGAACAGAATGAAGAAACAATTCAAAAAAAACGAGAGGCTTAGGAACCTCTGGGACTACTTTAAACGTTCCAACATTCAAATCACAGGGGAGCCAGAAGAAGAAAGGGGAGAGCAAGAAATTGAAAACATTCGGAAAACTGATGAAGGAGAACACAATCTAGTGAAGGAAATAGACTTCCAGGAAGTCCAAGAAGCTCAGAGAATCCGAAAGAAATGGGACCGAAGGAGGAACACACCAAGACACATAATTAAATTATCCAAGATTAATGATAAGGAGGGAATCTTAAAAGCAGCAAGAGGAAAGGAGACAGTAACCTACAAAGGAGTGCCCATAAGACTATCAGGTGATTTCTCAAAAGAAACCTTACAGGCAAGAAGGGACTGGAAATAAATATTCGAAGTCATGAAAGGCAAGGACCTACATCCAAGATTACTCTATCCAGCAAAGCTGTCATTTAGAATGGAAGGGCAGATGAAGTGCTTTCTTTCCCACATAAGGTAAAGTTAAAGGAGTTCGTCATCACCAAGACATATATGAAATGTTAAAGGAACTTATCTAAGAAAAGGAAGATCAGAACTATGAAGAGTAAAATGACAACAAACTCTCAACAATTGAACCTAAAAAAACAAAAACAAACAATAGGGTAATTAACTTGCTAATCCTATCAGCAAGGTGTCTGCTTCAACAACTAAGCAAACAACTAAGGAACAGAATCACAGAAATGGAGATCACAAGGAGGGAGATCAGTGGGGAGGGGGAGAGGTGAGAATGGGGGAAAAGATACAGGGAATTAGAAGCATAATTGGTAGGTACAAAATAGACGGGGGGAGGTTAAGAATAGTATGGAAAGTGGAGAAGCCAAAGAACTTACATGTACGACCCATGGACATGAACTAAGGTCGGGGGTATGCTGGTGGGCCAGTAGGTACAAGGTGGAGGAAGATAAAAGGGAGAAGATAGGACAACTACAATAGCATAATCAATAGAAAATACTTAAAGATTTTATTGATTATGCTATTCATGAGTGGTTTTTTCTGGTAGATTTTGGTTCCTTTGATCAGTGGTTTTCAGGGGTTTTTTTTAAATTATGAAACCTATTTTTTAAACTTCTTATGTAGAACCTCAGTGTGTGACAAAACATAGCTGCTTGGATCTAACCGGAAGCAGTAGGCCTGTGGT